GGCCAAGATAAAATGATCTCTACCACATTATTAAGGAAGTGATTGACAGAAGTACTCGACAGACCATGGTTATTATTTATTCAAACTTCATTTTTGAACAAGTCCTATAATTCATTTATAGTTATAGTTTATCCACATTACTTTCCATTGATTTAATTTTTAACAAGAAAGGAAGCTACCTTCGGCCAGCCGAAGCTTATATACCCTTGCAGATAAAAGAATGCTCACTCGGTGCAGTTCCAGGGATTCCAGATTCAGCGTTTCTATTTATTTAAATTTTGTTTTTAAGTAGTCAAGAATCAAAACGCCTACTTCCTACAAAGTTACAATGAATTTTCTTATATTTGTTTGAATATTCCTATGGGAGCCTTAAGATATAGTGGTCCGATCCGGCTCGCTCCGACATATGTACTACCTGCAATAGAAAGAAGACTTTCGGGAAAGTTTCATCGCGATAGCTTTAAAACTGAGAGATTAGTTCGCATAGAAACGGACAGACGGACAGACAGGCAGACGGACAGACGGACATGGCTAGATAGACTCGGCTGTTGGTGCTGATCAAGAATATATATACTTTATGTGGTCGGAAACGTCTCCTTCACTGCGTTGCAAACATCTGACTGAAATTATAATACCCTCTACAAGGGTATAAAAATTCAAGAATTTCCTAACACATAAGTTTTACTGTTTCATTTCGTGTTCAATAGTATTCTTTTTCAATCGATTTTTAAATTTATGAGCAAGACTAACAGTATTTTAATGGATGAATGAATTTCTCTCGACTTAGAATTACGACATGGCGGCATTTATAGGTTTTTAAAATAGGTATTTACGCATTGTTCGTATTAATGTGTACTCACGACCTTTTCTTTATGTTCCATAAGACGCGTTGCAAAGTTGGGCCCAAGTTCACGTTGAGTAGCTGTTGGTCAAAATTTATAATAATACCTACATTAAATGACCTATAACAAGAAAGGAAGCTACCTTCGGCCAGCCGAAGCTTATATACCCTTGTAGATAAAGTAATGCTCACTCGGTGCAGTTCCAGGGATTCCACATTCAGCGTTTCTATTTTAATTTTGTTTATACATAAGTAGTCAAGAATCAAAACGCCTACTTCCTACAAAGTTACAATGAATTTTCTAATATTTGTTTGAATATTTCTATGGGAGCCTTAAGATATAGCCGATCCGGCTCGCTCCGACATATGTACTACCTGCACTAGAAAGAAGACTTTCGGGAAAGTTTCATCGAGATGGCTTTAAAACTGAGAGACTAGTTCGCATAGAAACGGACAGACGGACAGAGGGACAGACGGACAGACGGACATGGCTAGATAGACTCGGCTATTGGTGCTGATCAAGAATATATATACTTGATGTGGTCGGAAACGTCTCCTTCACTGCGTTGCAAACATCTGACTGAAATTATAATTCCCTCTACAAGGGTATAAAAATACCGCACTCATGCCAATCAGAGAGCTTCTTTCAAAGGCAAATAGATTGATACGGACGGTGTCCGCCGGGGGAAGCCTTTGGTGGTGGCTAGTCTGTCCCTAGTCCACGACCAATGTATGGGTGCCTTCGCTGCACCTTGCGGCGGCACGATCCGAGTTGGCGCTGGGTGGCACTAGATGTGTTGTTGTTCCCGCGTTGAGTAAGGTGATTTGAATAACATCTGCCTTCAACTTCAACTATGCTGCAGTTCTAAGCAACGGTTTAATCGTATGATTTTTGGGCCGTCGCGAATCTTCTGATCTGCTTATCTCAACTTATTGGTATTGACATTAGATTAGATTAGTAGAGAGTAAATTTCCTAGGCCTCTGGCGCCGTGAAGTTATATTTATCTATGCGAGGGTGGGGTGAATAGTTCTTCATCGTAAAAGCTTAACTGGTCACTACACTATAGATTTTAATATTGTAGAAAATCTAGTTTTTTTCGCCTAAGTATTTCCCTCAACCGTGGACAGATGACCGACTATTCATAATTCGGTGTCTGTTTCCGATGCGTTTGAGTTAAACGTGAGCGAAGTGAGAGCGTGCTTTGAGTGAGAAGTCGAGTGAAACTCCAACAGTAGGTAACCGAGTAAAAATCCCTCGCCCTAACCCTACGTCACCCTGAATTATCAATCTTGGCTAATTTTTTTATATTGCTATTTTTGAGCTACGTATTAACGAGGCCCCACGTTGGGCGCCACTTCTGGAACGATTAATAATTGTTCATTTATACCAACAAATACAAACTGCATTTTATTTATCCTTACTGGAAGATTGTGTTGCATGCCTAAATAATCAGCCATTAACATTTCCTTTCTTCTTTGAACTAATTATTAATTTACTTTAATACCAACGAATTTCTCGGGCAAATTTCTTTCTGAATTTTTTTTTTTTTTTGGATTTATCTCCTTTCTTCTTTTACCTTTCCGGAATTAAAATTTTACATGAACGAAAGATTTTCGCTTACCAATCAGTATTGTTGACTCCCTCGTAGAAAGCGCTTTGGTCCTGAGGTGGTCCTGAAACGCTGTAAAAAGGATTCTAATATGTTCTTACACTTTATTTCACATAAAAAAAAATTGCCCCGAGTCGCCGGCCAGAAAATCACTCAAAACCAATAAAAACAAGAGAGAACGCTATAGTCGGGTGCCCCGACTATCAGATACCCGTTACTCAGCTAAAGGGAGTGCGAAAGAGATGGAGAAAAACTTTGATCCGCCGTAACTTTTTAACGAATGGTCCGATTTAAAAAATTTCTTCTACATTTCGATAGGTATTGATAAACACAATAAAACTGCATTTTTACTTTTCCAAAATATTGAAATTTTTAAAATCGTATATATGCGATTGTGGGCGTTAGAGGGGGCGTGGCACCCTTTTGAAACAAACTTGCGCTGCGTAGGAACTCCTAGAATCTGCATGCAAAATGTCAATCTTCTAGCTTTTATAGTTTCCGAGATCTCAGCGTTCATACGGACAGACGGACAGACAGACAGACAGACAGACAGACAGACAGACAGACAGACAGACAGACAGACAGACGGACAGACGGACAGACGGACATGGCTAGATCGACTCGGCTAGTGATCCTGATCAAGAATATATATACTTTATGGGGTCGGAAACGCTTCCTTCTACCTGTTACATACTTTTGCACGAATACAATATACCCTTTTACTCTACGAGTAACGGGTATAAAAATCACTCAAACCTTCTCCGTTCTGCCTTATTGCCCTCTTTCATCATCGTTATTTCTTTCGCACGCCATTATTTAGAGGAGATTACATAATTTAACTTAAGTTTTACTTAATTCTACTTTACTTTGCTTATTTAAATTGCTTCCACTTAATTGAACAGCTTTAAATTACTGCATGGAATTACTTTTCTTTTCAAGGCATTAGAATTAAAATTCTTTTCTTTTAGGTTAAAATTACTTTTCTATCTTTTAATGATCAAGGCAAAATTGGACGCCGATGGAGCCTATTTTTTCGCGGGTTTTTCCCGCTTTTCACCACACACACATGCAAAAACAATTTTTCTTCTGGCTGCGAGTTTTTCGGCGACACACAAAACCCACTCGTTCGGATTTTTTTTGAGCGCCCTCTTGGGCAGCAGCGCGATTACTGATGCGCTCAGAACAATTAAACGCCAATTCCGCTCAATTTCAATTCCACTCGTTCCCTCAGACGATGCGGTAGGTCAGGTCCGCCAACATTTCCCTCTTTCGCTCTATCGTCCCTCTCTCTTCTCTGGTGCATCTGGACTCGATCTTGTAACTTTAAGATGATTTGTAAAGCGCCAAGCCTATATCCAAAAGCAAATTTCCCTCATTAGAAATCCAACGGGAATATTCTTCGACTTCCCAACTCACCCAATTGGACTTAGCGCTAAACTAACTTTTGGTGGCTGCACGCCGAACTTTCACTTTCGTATAATTTTGTTTCTTTTACTTAGAACTTTGGAAGACTCTTGAAAGAAAATACTTGTGGTCAGTACGACGGTCGAAATTGGAAAGACCGACTATGCCGCCATAGTTCTGGCGGTAGCCCATGGCGAATCTGGGAGATTTTGAACGATTAATTACACAGGCCGACAAAATGTGACATGGGTCGATGTACAGGCCTGCCACCATTTTATTTCGATAAATTAGGCTTTTCTAAGCATAAGTTGCCACTACGCCTATAGTCCATCAGCTCTGGTATTTGCGGTATCTTTAATTTAAGAAAATCACAAATTTTCTTCGGCTTTTGGGATATATCTTCAAGAGTGGTCAACCAATTTTGGTAATCTTTTCGGAATGAAATAGTTACATGTCTCTTTTATACGGTCGTTTTGGAAAATTCAATCTAACTCAACCACAAGAGGAGGTGGTAGCATTCAAAATTTTAAAGTCACAGCAAAGTTTAAAAATCTTCATTTGTGAACAGCGTTTAAAAATTAAATAAAAATATGTTACGAACTGCTATTTTTTTTTTGGCAGTGCCGCTAGCTCAGTATTTTCTCAGGGCGGATTCCCCCTAATGCCACAGCTCGCAACATAAACATCGATTGCTACACGGTCTCACATCACTAAACTATCGGTTATCTCTAACAAACAAAAGGTAAACAAAGGCAAATTAATATAAATGACGGAAATTTACCCTTCTTTAAGCCTTCACTACCAAAGTTGGCCGCCGTCTCAAAACTTACGCGGTCAAAGCAGAGGTTTTAATTCCTCGGAAAAAGGCTACAGGCGCCGCGAAAAATATGCTCCACCACTCATGTATTGGTGGAGCTCACAAGGGAACGAGGCGCACAATAAGGACACACACTATTCGTGTGTCGGGTCACCTAATCCTGAGGAGCTCCTGGGGAAAAGAAGGGACAGGCCAAAGTAAGGTAAGTGCGCGCTGTAAACTCCCCGCCGAAACTAATACTCGCGACCTTGTTCACAGGCAACAACGAGGACAACTGCGGTCTTCGGGTCTAAATCCGGAAAACTTCACAAAAGGAACACGGGAAGTATTTAGGTTAAGATTAACATTGACAATTGTACTCATATAATTTACTATTCTATTATTTAGTGACTTCGGGGCTGGACAAAGGCCGATATTATACCCCGGACGATTCTATTCCGCTGGAGGCCAGTTGCAATTTAGGCCTGGAGCCGGAGGAACGGTGGTGGCTTTCAAGAAGGCGTAGCCCCCCACCGCCGCGCAAAATATCGGGGAATGATCCCGAGGGTGAGTAGGACGGATATCCCGAAACGGACTCACCGGGGATTGTTGCCTGGCTTTGGCGGTGTCGGAACAAATCAAGTTAAGCCGGTCCAAATCCACAGGTCCAAGTTCCTCAAGCTGGGTTAAGTGGACTTCGGGGACATCACCACATCAGGTTCCCGGATGAGGTTAAGGTGAGTATAGGTCGAACCTTGTGTAAGAATCTCCAGAGCAAATTCCCAAAATAAATCTTCCGGGGCCCTTTTTGTTGGGACCCCGGTTGCCCTACAGACAATTAATTGTTAATAAAATAACTATGACACTTAACATTCTAAACTCTCACTTTTTTCTGGATTTGGCACACACTTAATGAAGGAACTTATCGCTGCGTCCAGCTTTCATGACAATATGGCTGCGACTATCTTAATCTGCCTATCATCATGGCGGTATTGCCATATTCCCTTGCCTCTCCCAAAACTGGGTCATCGGACAGATTCAAGGCCACGGGAGAGTAATCCCTGAGCGAACCGGGATTACTCCAAATGGCCAGATCGTCCTCCAGATTCCTTACAGGGGGGCGCCACCAAAACCATCGCCTTATCGTCCTGACCTATCGATAAAATCTATCTGACAATCGACTCCAACTGCAACAAATATTTTCTTCTACAATGCATTTTTGATCCAAAGACACTTTATGTCCTTACTGTTTAGGACACTCATCAGGTTTTTGTGAATTGTTTTGGAATTTTTAAAATTGTTTTTCTTACTTCCTTCACAGTGACGATTCACAAACAGTGCCCAACTATTTAATTCCGAAAAGATTACCAAAATTGGTTGACCACTCTTAAAGATATATCCCAAAAGCCGAAGAAAATTTGTGATTTTCTTAAAGTAAAGATACCGCAAATACCAGAGCTGATGGACTATAGGCATAGTGGCAACTTATGCTTAGAAAAGCCTCATTTATCGAAATAAAATGGTGGCAGGCCATGTCACATTTTGTCGGCCTGTGTTATTGTTTAATTATACTAACAAATGAAAACAGTCTTTATTAGTATACCCTGGCGATGGTGATAGCTTTGAAAAGAGTGCGCATGCAACACTTAAATTTATCCGGACTGTGGCTCGATGGCAAATGGTCGTGGTGGTCTTGCTACTCTTTCCTAAAATTCGCCTTTTATTATCCTTACGGGAAGATTGTGTTGCATGCCTAAATAATCAGCCAATTCATTGTCGGTCGAGTGTAGACGTGTTTTCTTAACGCTCCGGAAAAACAAAAGAAAAACAGTCTTTCACCCAGTTAAAAACGTTCGAAAATTTAGAACAGCGTGGCCTTGCGTTTCGCGATGCTAATCGCATATTGTAAACTAAAGTTTTAATTTATTAATTAATTAATCTTTACGCACTAACAATAAGCAAATGATTAAGAACGTGGATCAGCGCACTCAACGCCAAAAACAACAAGACGAAGCCCGTAAAAAAATTCAGAGAGAGCAAGACAAACGTCGTCTTTCTTTGGCCCGCAACAATGCTTATTTGTCCTTTACGAATAATACTCTAGAACCGAAAGTGCAAGAAAATGCAAGTTTACTGACCGCCGAAAACCAGAGAGCTAGTTCTTGCTCTCCCGCCCTGCTTCTCAACGCTCAAACGCTATGGAGTGAGCAATGCAAAACTCCAACCGAGCTTCAGCCACCTGGTACAACAACAACAGCAACTACTACGTCAACTACAACGGCCTCTATCGCCAACATTGCAATAACGACTCCACTTTCTTCTTCTGCAGCGGGTAAAGCAACAACACTATTAAGTGCAAAAATCGGGTCAAACGGCAAAAACAAAGCTACGGTTGAAGAAATGACAAATCCGCAAGCGGGTTCGGCCATGCAGACAGGCATGGATCGCTACATAAATATTTCCAAGCGCAAGCTAACGCCCTCAAAAAATGCTGACGCACAGTGGGGCGAAAAAGCCAAAAGTCTGCCTTAAATCAGCGGAGCCCTATATCGAATATTTTTTGATAGGGCATTGTTAAAGGCAATTAAATATGAAAAAACATCATAAAGTGATTTTTTTAGTCAAATTTTATTGTTGTAGAAAATTTTTAAGAAACAAAAAATTGTTTTTTTAAGAAAAAATATATAAATAAATTACTTATAGGGTTCTAAGTTTCCCAATATTTTTTTTTAATTTAACTTGATTTTTGAAAAAAAAAATTATTCAAATCGGTCAACTATATCTTATAGCTGCCATATAAACGCTTATTACAAAGGGGAATGTCTCGGTTCTATTTCAATATTGGTTCATATAAATTGGGATTAAGTCATTATTTATCATTTTAGCCCTATGCTTATCTTTTTTTTGAATTGGTCAATGATATCTTATAGATGTCATAGAATCAATCAAGGAAATATAGCATTTTTTCAAAAAAAACTGGTAGAAACCGGTATTTATTTCATATCTGTATTTTTAGTGAAATAACATTATTTAAAATTTTAAACCCAAATTTGTTTATTAATTTATCATTATCTTCATCAATACCTTCACATAAGTAAATTATCTTCATGATGTTAGGGCGCGCGGATGAACCAGGGCTGACGATATTTCAAATTATGAACATTTCTTGCTAACTTAAACTGCGGTTTTCTCAGAAGAGGCACAAAAGGGCAGGCTAATTTTTTCAGAATATGTAGTTAAATATCTAAACTTTTTTTAAAAAAAAGAATTAAACGGGGATCTAGGGTGTAACACTACTTTACGCCCAAAAATATCCAAAAAATCCCAATTTTTTTGGACCCCTTTTAAAAAATTAAAAAAATATAGTAATTATGTATCTAAAATTTTTATTGTTTTTTTAGTATTTTAAGAATTGGTTGCTCTTAAAATTTCAATCGTTACATATACAACTTAGGGCCTTGGGCGCTTTTAGAAAAATTTCAAAGATGTGTAAAAATATCTTTTTTTCTTATTGGCTAAAATTATATTTCGAAAAATCCACTTTGTAAATCTCTAGTGGGAGAACCATTCATCACAGATCACTCTTTCCTTTTGATTTGTATAGAGAATTCAATTGTTTTTAAAGTTGCATTGCAACATTTTGGAAAATCTTAAAAAAAAAAAAAACATGTTGGCAGGCTTTTTGTTCTAGGCGCCCCACAGTGCGTTACTCGTAGAGTAAAAGGGTATACTAGATTCGTGCAAAAGTATGTAACAGGTAGAAGGAAGCGTTTCCGACCCTATAAACTATATATATTCTTGATCAGGATCACTAGCCGAGTCGATCTAGCCATGTCCGTCTGTCCGTCTGTCCGTCCGTCCGTCTGTCTGTCTGTATGAACGCTGAGATCTCGGAAACTATAAAAGCTAGAAGATTGACATTTTGCATGCAGATTCTAGGAGTTCCTACGCAGCGCAAGTTTGTTTCAAAAAGGTGCCACGCCCCCTCTAACGCGCTTGTATACGATTTTAAAAATTTTAATATTTCGGAAAAGTAAAAATGCAGTTTTATTGCGTTTATTAATACTTATCGAAATGTAGAAGAAATTTTTTAAATCGGACCATTCGTCAAAAAGTTACGGCGGATCAAAGTTTTTATCTCCACCTCCTTCACACTCCCTTTAGCTGAGTAACGGGTATCTGATAGTCGGGGCACCCGACTATAGCGTTCTCTCTTGTTTTCTTTTAACGATGATCAAAGCAATCTGCATTCGGCCGAAATTGGGTATGGAGATAGAATGCATTCGAGAAGGTATATTCGTAATCGATCGTTTCTCCGCTTCTGGAACGTAGGATTGTAATGGGGCATTGTTTTCGTTTCTCGCTCTCCCTTTCCATCGAGACTTCGGGAATCGTTAGGGTCGGACGTTCTTTTTTCTGTTGAACGTTTCTATGATTTTATACGTACGCACACATCCGAGAGCCTATGTTTTTTTCAGCAAGTTTTGGTTTCCACGGCATGTTGTTTGTGTAATTTGTTGTCTACTCTTTTTTAACGCGCTTTTTTCTTGCCACGCGTCACTTGTGTTTTGGAACTTGGCAGAATCTGACGTGTTATGGTGAAATATAGTGAAAATTTTCATGTATTATATGGGAACCCTGCAGGAAAAATGCGAACTAGTCTGAAAAACAACTAGTTAAATAACTAATATAAAGCAACAGGAATTTGTCTGAATGCATTTGGACTACACAGGGTCTAGAAAATTTGTGCTAGTCGAAAAAATGATTAATACAAAACTAGTAAAAAATAAACTTGCCTCGGACTAGTACCTTTCTGACAAAAAAAACCTTAAAAATATTTAACTGGTAGAACAAATACATGTTAGGGTCTAGTTAAAAGGCAACTGGAATTTAACTAGTTGCAAATGAAACACATATGATCCAAAAATATAGCCTATAGGGTAAATGTCTTGGGAAATTTAACAATAAACAAATCAAACACTCGAGGTCCTCGGTTCAATCCCCAGTCTCTGTGCATTTTTTTTTGTTTTTTGTTTGCTAGGTGATGTTTTAGTTTTATTTTAAACTTTGTTTAATCTGTCCGAGGCAATATATATGTGAAAAATCACTGTTTTTGAATTATGTCACACTAAAATTCATAAACCTTGTTAGGGCATTACAAAATGTTAGTGTGTCTACAAATCCAAAGGTCCCGGGTTCAAGTCCTAGAGAGGGCGACTTGCCTCAAAAAAAAGTAAGTTTGTTTTAATTCCATTTAATTATCATTTACTGTATTTGATTACATAATAATTATCAGAAATTCTCTAAGGACCGCGCCTATTGATTGGATACTAAATTAGGAGAGCGTCAAGTTAGGCATCGTCAAGTACTAGTGAAATCCAATAACTTGATGGTTTAGAGATTAATTTTTAGTTTTTTCGTGCAAATATTTTTTTTAGTGTAGTTTAACAGCTGTAACCATAAATTGGTTAACAGTCACTAGTGCAAAACTAGTAGCAAATGGACTAGTTGTTTCCGACGACAAGCATATGAAAAATGGACCACTACGTTACAAGGAAATGGACATAACTTGAACTAGTTAACCTTCTTGACCCAACTAGTATTTTAATAGTCCAAAACTGATTCCGTTTCCTGCAGGGAAGTACAGCTAAACATTCTTAATAAATTGACAACTAATTTCCCATTTATTCTTAAATATAGATGCTGTAATAAAAAATGGACTAAGTAGCTTATTCTA